AAAAAAAAAAATGACGACTACAATGACAAAAAAAAAAGAACTAAAATATGTGAAACTAAAAAATGTGGGAAAAAAGACAAAATATTCATCTTTGGTAAAATAAAAATTTTAGTTCTTATGACATTTTTTTCTCTTTTAGCCACTTAAAGATAATAAAATTAAAGCTTAAATAAACCGAGTCTTCGTAAAGTATTACGATTTCAAATGACATGTGTTGATAACCTGTTTAAAAGCCATTTATTAATGGGAAAGACGGAACTGGAAAGGAACAGAGATTAAAAAAAAGAATAAAACAGAAAAAAGGTCCAATCCAAGTAGTTTCTGGGAAATTCTTTTTGTTTTTTTTAACCGTCATTAAGATCAATCTTATTGCCGTTGATCTGTTTGTAAGCGCCATAAAAAAATATAACAGAACTTGAGATCATGAAGAAGTTCAAAGCAACCAACGAACTTAGTCCTACCATCGTCATACATAGATTAGTCTAAAATAGCTACTATTAACACTGTTAGGTTAGCATAAAAAAAAATTTTCTTTCTGGTTGGAGAGATATATTATTCATCTATTACCTAATTACCAAAACAAAAAATTGCAAATGAAAAAAAATTCTTACCGACAATTTCTCATAGTTGTTATTCAGCCAACCGTCTCGAAGAATCTGCTCATCACTGAACACGTATTTAATTTCTGAATTTTGGAAATCTACAATAAAATAGGCCAATATAGCACTCATCTAATAAAGCATATTAAGTTTTAAAAAAAAGATATATAGATGTTAATTGACAGTTACAGAAAGCAGTTTCAATAGATTATGTGAGTACCAAAAAAGATTTCTTTGTAATTTTGAAATACCTGTGTAATTTTCCAAAAAACTGTTAGCAGTTTCACCCTGTTGATCAACAAAATCACTTTGTGCGGTACGGTTTTGCAGATGCTGTCCTGAACGTCGTCTTCGCGGTGGATCTGGGCACATTGGAACCTGGAAGACAACAAATATGGTACTGTCATTTTAATTGTTGCAGAAAAAAACAGTTATTTTTATTGATAATAATGTTCAATTTAACAACAGGAATTCATATAATGAATATCAGATGCTGGTTTTCTTTCCTTTGATTTCACTGTTCAGTTATTTAATGGTGATGCTTCAACATTTTGAACAGATAAATGAATAAATGTAGCGTTTTAAATGTGAATTGAATGCATCAAAACAAGTTTAGATGTCAAAAAATTTCTGATTATTTTTTCTTCCTTTCTTAATTTTTTTATGTCTATGTAATTGTGCTTAGTTAGAACTTACATCACAGTGTTGCTGATTTGGTTCTTTGATTGTCAACGTTATTTGACAATCAAAAAACATATCCTGCCGATCAGCATACTTATAAACGTGAGCCTCTCGTCCAACAGTCAAATCCGATGTATATTCCAAATTTTGCAGTAAATGCTTATCTTTGGCACATCTGAAACAAACAAAAAAAAAAATCCTTTGTTTTTTTGAGAGAAGCGAAATTGGTGGAAATAACTGATTGTCAACAAATTTTTTTACCGGTTTATCAGCAACAATACTTTAGAGCACGCACTGAGCTTTTTTGCTCCTCTTCTAAATTCTTCTATACAATGTTCAATTTTATTAGCATAAAAACAGAAGCAAAAAAAAACTAAACAGATATTATAATTTTAACAATTTCTTAGCAACTTTTTTTTCCACTCTCTTCTCTTTCAATCATCAAATATGTATTTTTGCACACTTAACAAAACATTTTCTGTCTCTTCATCCATTGAACAGAAAAAAAAAAACCAAAATCAGGGAGAAAAGACTTGCTGAAAATTTATGCCACAGCAGTTGTAAAATTTTTATTTAATTAAAATTAACGAAAGCTTTCTGCCTCTTTTTTTCTTTACCTTTAATTTTTGTAACTTCTACAAAAACCTGTTTTTTTCTTTTTAGGAACAAAAAATTTGAAACTGTTTCTATTTTTTCCTGCTGAAGACAAGTAAATTTAATTTAATTACTTTTTTTGTTTTTTTTTTCTTGAAATTTCAATTTTAACTTTTGCATTATCAGTATACCACCAGAAATAAATACTATAAAAAGTAAAGATTTCAACAATAAGAAAAAAAAAAGCTATTAAATTTATGTGTAAAATTATTTAGAAACAGTAGCAACAGTTCAGAGGTGAAACAATTTTGCAATTAACAAACCCATTCTCATCGATCAACTGAACCCGGTCACCATTTCCGTCGTCCACATAACAGGTATGAACTACCATGCAAAACTGATTCTCTGTTACAGCTTCGCATGACCACTTATGATAAACCTGAAACAATTAAAACAGTGATAGCTACACTAAACAATTTTTTCTTCT